GGGGGCACCTTGGATTCTCACTCTGGCAGTGTTCTGGGTTTGGGGATTTTTTGTATTACTATATTTTTATTTTAATTTTTTTCTACTAAAGAACTGTTATTCCTATTCCTATATCATTGTCTAAGAGCCCCTTAATTTCAAAATTATAATAATTTGGAGGGAGGGGGTTTACATTGTCCATTTTAAGAGAGGCTCCTGCCTTTCTTAACTAACACCTGTCTTTCAAATCAAGACACACACCAAACTGCCTGAGTCATGTTTAACAATAAACATTTGCTTGTGTTTAGGCTGGAAGTTGCCTTTCCTGCTTTAGCTGACAGAGCAGTGGCTGGGCACAGGCAGGTCCTGGATCCAGGGAATGCCCATCTCTGTGCCTCTGATTCTAAATGCATACTCTCAGGAATGCCAGAGGGTGGCAATGCCAATGGCTGAGGACACCCCTGCCCTGACCTGCCAGCTCTCCAGAGTACACAGATCACTGCAGAGCACTCACAGCTTGGGCTATCCATGACTTTCCACCAAACTCCAGAGCTCTGAGCTGATAAAATGCTGTTATTTCCCTTGGTAAAAGTCAAGCTTTTGAATCACATCTATTTGTTTTAAAGTACTAAGTCAGCAATCTGCCAAGTTAAGGAACATCATTAAAACAGAGAAGATGGATGAGAAGCACACCCGTTCAACACCAGCTCCACTTTCCAGCTGCTTAACATTGAAAGAAAGAACAGCACATTCAAACTTCTCAATGCTAAAGATGTATTACAGAGATCTCAGTTATGCCAGCACACCTAATGCCAAATCACTTCCAGAACACACTGAAAGGATGGGAAGGTTGACAGTAGAGTCAGATCCAAAATCCCATTCTCTGTTTATTTTTCCTTTCTTCAGCAGAACTTTGGGTTAATTTGCTTGTTTCTCCTACAATATAGAACTGTCCAGAAGGCAGGAGGAAGCAGATGGAGCCATGTACCCAGAGCACAAGCAACCAGCATTCCAATCCTGTTACATCCAACTTCCTCCATTTATCCTCTAGCAGAAAGGACCTTCCAGTACCAAGGTGATCTATTCCATGTGATCAGCACAAACGTTCCTGCTCGTCTCTGTTCTATATAAAAAATCCTGACATGCAACACTCCCTTGATCACCCAGAACTGGCATCATGGTTTCTCTCATTACAGACTGCTCAAAGTATCTTGAAATTCTGACAGGCTTAAATCTTTCAAGTCAAGAGGAGGTGGACATTAACACAAGCCTGTACAGCAAGTGAAAGACATTCAACAGTGGGAACTCCCCAGAGAGGGGCAATGTGTGGGTGACTGACACACAGAGAGGGGCATGAGGATGTGCAGGGGATGATCAACACTCATGACACGTGTGAAGGAGGTATTAAACATGGAACACACAAAGAGAACTCCAGCCCAGTTCACTGCATCAAAAAAAGCTGATTTACACACCTGGTTTTGGCACCGAATTGGTCACGGACTGAGGGACTTTGTCGTTGATGAGTTCAACACATTCACTGGGAAAGAATCCAACCTGGAGTAAAACAGAAAGAGGAAATGGAGTGTTATGATCTGAACTGTCCAACCACATCTCCCCTCACCTCCCCCTGCCCAATGCTCCCTGACATTATCCAGCATCAAGTGACCAGCAGCCATTGACAACTGCAGGTTCTGCTCTGCTGCCAGCACCCTGAGACAGAACAATCTGAGAGTACAAGGCACTGCAAGATCCTGGAGATTCACTTTAAAGGTTAAAGATTTGCAGTGTCCCTGCACTGACCTTTAACTCAGCATTTCTCCCTGCAGCCCCTCAAAGGCAGAAAGGCTGGAGAGTCCCTCTAAAGCAGCATTAGGGTTAAAGGCTATGGGAAGGATCCTAATGTTTTCTTGGAGTAGGATGTGCCTGCAGACATTCCCATGTCACTCAGGAGGGGCTGCTGTACCTGGGGAGAAGCGAAATTATTTCCCTTTCCCTGCTGGACGATTCAGGCTAAGCTGAGAGAAATTGGCACTTCCTTGCATCCCCACCTTCTCTCTCATTTCCCAGCATCTTTCTTCTTACTCTCCTCCCCGTGAAAGCCAGACCAGAGCAGACCCTTGGTAACTTTAATCCTTGGTCCATCTTTCCCCACCTTTTCTCTGTTTCTCACCCAGCATAGCTCCTGTATTGTGAGATGTAACTCAGGCACCACCACCTCCCCTGACTCCTCATCTGAGGCAGGGCAGGATTCCCTGTCCCATGTCAGGCCTGTGACTGGGACAGCTGGAAGCACCAAGTTTGCTCAAACACCACAGGAACATGAGGGAAAGAGCCAGAGCTCATGAGAGCAGAACTGAGCCAGGACTGTGCCACTCATGTCAGCACATCCATGAGATCCTCTGGAGGCACAGGACAGTCAGCACCAAGCCTGGCAGACAGTCCCTCCTCTCTTCATTAATCTCACACATTTTGTCTCCATGGAAAAAGATTGATCTCCTTCCTACTCCCAAGATGATTTTTGCTCACCAACCTCCCAGCAGTTTGGTGGCAGTGTCATGTGTGGAGTGTCCAGACTGAAGTTATTCCAAATTCCCCAAAGGAAGCAACAGTTATCAGAGCACATCCTTTCCTCTTCCCACACCCCCAACACACAGCAGGGCAATGTTCTGCCCAACCACAGGGACAAGTTGTCACCCATTACACAGTGTCACAGATTTGAAATCCCATTGTTGTAAGGACTGAGAGCTCAGGGCAGAACCTGCAGGAGCAGCACTCTGGGCCAGCAGCACTCGGGCTCTGAGCTGGGCTGCCCTGTAACTGGGCATCACAAGTGACCACAGGACCCACCCAAAACCCAACATGAAGTTGACCTTCACCCTCACCTCACCCACCCTCAGCTGGGTGTTCCAGCTCTGCAAGGACATGGTATCAGTTATGGAACACAGTGGGGACTTTTGTGCAGTTTATAGACAGAAATGTGCCAATTAACAGGAGAAAATGAGCATGAACAGCAGCATCACAGAGGGGGGCCCTTCCTCTGGCAGATCATAGCTCAGGGATCTGCTCTGCTGGGAGATGCCAAGGAACAGGCTGAGTGGCACAGACACTGAAGTGCTGCTGTTTAAACAAAATACACTTCATGGCTTTAAATCATGGAATCCCAGGATGGTTTGGGTTGGAAGGGACCTTAAGGCTCATCCAGTTCCACCCCTGTCATGGTAGGGACACCTTCCACTGTCCCAGGCTGCTCCAAGCCCCAGTGTCCAGCCTGGCCTTGGGCACTGCCAGGGATCCAGGGGCAGCCACAGCTACTCTGGGCACCCTGTGCCAGGGCCTCATCACTCTCAAAGGGAGGAATTTTCTCCTTATATCCAGCCTAAATTTCCCTTTTTTCACTTTGAACCATTCCCCCTTGTTCAGACACATCAGTGCCTGATGCAAAGTCCCTCTCCACCTTACTTTGCAGCCCCTCCAGACACTGGAAGGTGATCTGAGGTCTCCACACAACTTTTCTTTT